TTCCAAGCCTTTCTCGGTGACGGTATGTGACTGCGGGTTGGACAGGGTCAGCGTGGCCTCGCGGTGGGACAGCCCGCACGTGCTGTGGTGTTTAGTGGCACCAGAAAATGCCGACTGGGGAGGAGGCCAGGGAAGGGGCTGGGGCTGCGTGGTCAGTGCGGGCACCTGCAGAGCAGCGTGTGCTGCAGGGAGGCCGGTGTGCGCCGCCGGGGCAGGGGGAGGCAGGGGTTCCCCGGGGCTTGAGCTGGTTGTGCCAGGGCAGTAAACAAAGCTGCATCAGTAGCAGAGAAGGGTGAGCAAGTTGGAACAGTTCCCGTTCAATAACAAAAGATTGGCTTTTGTTGAAAGGTAACCGCCGTCAGGAACAGCTGCGAGGTTAAGTGCCGAAGTAGGTGCCGGTGGATAAACGCGTGACCGCAGCGGTGGTTTGTCAGTTCTCTGCCTGATGCTACAGTCATTCAATAACGGCTCCTCCTTCCGCAGGGGCACGGACAGAGGTGTGCTGGTGCCCCATGGCTTGTAGCGCAGCACAGCTGCTGCGCCGGAGCGGTGGGCTGGGGGCGTCTCTCGTGACACGCTCTGCCGTCGGCGTGATAAAACTGGTCACGGGCTGTTACTGGAGCTGTTGGTGAGCGGAGCAGGGCCGAGGGCCTGCAGCCCCGGTACCCGCCTGTGCGCGTCTGCGGGGAGCGCCCGCCCGAGGCACCGGCCGCGTTCCGGGGCCGAGCTGCGCTGCAGCACCCTGTGCAGGGTACGGCTGCGGGAGCGGCGAAGGCGTTTGTGCAGCACTGAGTCTGGCAGGGTGTGCGGCGGCAGCAGCCAGGCAAGCGTTGGAAGGAAATTTGCAGCTGTGTTCAGAGAAAAGTAGCTGTGAGACTGTATTGGCAGACAGAAGTCACGCAGCGATTCCTCTTCAATGCTTTTAGTGCCAGCAGGGAAATGATACAAGTTTCTTACTGGAATGACCTAGAATTAGTTTTTTGCTGGATGACAAGAGGAGCTTAGCGGTAGCTTAATAATTTCTTCTTTTTTGGTTGCAAAACAGATTTTTTTCACAAGTCAAAGACTAAAGCAGCAGGAACTTTGAGAAAAGTTGAAGAGAAAGAAGGTGAAAGTATGCAGAACTGAAGTATTTATGGACTCGGGCTCATTAGTTCTTGCTAAGCTTTGTGGATATCACCCCCCCGCCCCGTTACATGCATGACTCAATCCAGGCTTTTCATCAGTGCTGGTATGGTGGAACCACAGGACAGAACCAAATATTTTATAGAAATACTTTTTCTTTCTTTTTTTTAATTTGCAGCCTATAGCCATGTCTCAGATGCTAAAGAGCACTCCCGGGCAGGGCCATGGAGGTGTGGTGTTCCCTGGCACCTGTGGCCTCAGCTAACATCTCCCAGGAGCCACCACCTTCCTCCAGGTAAGCCGCAGCCACCCCAGATCCCGGCTCTTCAGGCAGAGCAGCAGCAGGAGGGCTGCTGGAGGAAGAGGGAGGCTGGGTGTTCAGGTTGTGCTGTGGGGTGGGGTTTTTGGGGTGTAGGGCGGTGTCTTTATTTTTGGCAGGTTGTTTTCTGCTTGACAGGTGAATGAATTAAACCAATCATAGTGTTGCCTTATCGTAATGGGATGAATCAAATCCCTCCAAAGACAAAAGCTGGATCAAGAGTTGGGTTTATTAGCTCGCTTACATTCCCACCCACATCTCGCAGTCTGTGCTGTTCTGTTCATTCTTGGCTGTTGCTCGGAGAGCACATTTGTTAAGGTAGATGGAGAGACTTTTCTTACAGTCGATTTTGGTACTCCTGAGTAAGCTGTTACGTTCCGCATCTACGGCAACAATAACAAGAGCTCCCTGCCCCCCCCCACCCTGACCCCCTAAATTTCAGCACAGTGTGTGGTGGCGAAGCCGACAGTGGATTTGTGCAGGGTTCTTGGTAATCAAAAGGCTCAATAAATAATATTTTTTTTTACTCCACCAGTTTCTGGATTATTTTAGTCGTGTTACAATTCTGATCATGCATCATAGGACTGCAACAATGAGCTTTAAATAAGTATTCTTTGTGCACAGTAAAATAGAAATAAAGGAACATTTAACAAGATAGCATTTCATCATATACATCAGATAGTAGGCACAATAGATAAATCAAGCAGCTTGGGTTTCATGTAGAGCTTTTTCATGGAGAATGTCATGTAGACCAAAACGTAAGAGGAGCTATTAGTAACCCGCCCACACACCCTCCAACAAGCCCTTTATTGGGGGCAAGGGGGTGGGTATGTGCACAAAACCAAAAACACGGAACAGTAGGAGGACAAATTAAGTTACTGTAGGCAGCAGTGTGAATATTAAAAACCTCTTCCTGTGAAAGAATACTTCAGACCCTGTAAAAACTGGTTCAGTTAAAAATAGATGTATTTACATTTAAGTCTGATCTAGCAAGTTTTCCCAGCAGGTGTAAGTTAAGATGTACAGTAACTCTGCAGGTTGTACTCAATCTGACTTGATTTGTGATTTTTGTTTTTTTTTTTTTTATAAAGTTGCAGCTATTAGGCCTTAAAGCACCAGCATATTACAGCAGTGGGATGAGTAACTGTCTCCGTCTGCTTTGCTACCAGTACACTGCTGGGATAAATCCCAAACCTGTCGTTAGATCACACTAGTGTTAAGATGTTTTCTTCCAGCTCAAGATGGGGTGGGTCACTTGCCAGGGCGAGATTGTTTTCCCAGCTACTCACACATGTCTTACCTCTACCCCTATCACTAGTTAAGTACATGAGGGCAGAATTTAGCTGTAGGTGGTGGCAGCTGACTGCTGCTATAGTAAACTGTTGGGACAAATGCACCTGTTTCAGTTCATATGACCATGCTTTGTTTTTGTGAAGCCACTTATGCTACTTGTTCTGGGAATAACAACTATTGAAATGCTAAATATTGTGAAGGTCAGCTCTTTGGTAAGCTTTGACGATTACACAGCCTCTAATGCTGGGTGCAATGGGAGGAATGGCTCAGTGTTACTTTATACAGAAGGAAGCGTTCATTTCACCATGCCAGTCAAGATAGTTATTTGTTTTATTTGGTTATTGTTCAACAACAAAGTTCAATACGTTCCAGGTGGAGCTTTGAACTGTCCCTCTGGTTCCCTCCCTTGTCAATAATAAAAAGGTAATGAAGAAAAATCCTGTACTTTTTTAAAGACCTAAAATCTCATTTATGCTAACAAGCTTCAATTGCAGTTTAATGTTACAATATTTCTTCATGGGAGCTAGGAGGACTAAGCTGAGGCCCCTCCAGTGTCTGAAGATGGCTGTCCACAACCACCATTAAAACAAAAAGCTAGTGTTGAAAAACGCACAGTTTACAATAAAAAAGTAGAAACCAATTCAATTCCCTTTTGTTACGAATATAAAGTTTCTTGTAAATATGTACAGTCCTTTGAGCTATTTCTATAGCAGGAAGCATTTCACGAACAAGACACAAGATATACACCTTCAGGACTCGACAAGCCCGTTTCTGAGGTCTTGAAGATCTTCCATGAGATGCAAAGATTTAAAGACTGATCTCAGTGACCTTTCAAAATAGTCAGACCAGGAGACAAAAACTTCCAGCAAGTTTCCTGCCAAATCATCTGATCTAAAATAACCCAACAGAGAAAAGAAGGGAATACGATATTCATGAAACTCGCCAAAGGACACCGACAAGGCATTTGGATTTTTATGGGCTTCTCAAACAGGTTAGCACAGGCTTGCAAGGGACTAGCAGAAGTTTAAGAGTGTGGCCAAGGGAAGATTGGATGCAGTTTTGCTCTTTCCAGTTGTAAAGAACATGGTTGTTCACTTAGAATGTCGCTATTGCAGCATGAACAGTCAAAACCTGCTTTGAAAATGATTTGCTCTCTGCTTCGTGTTCACAGCAAAAGGGAACAGAAAGCAGTGGGTGGCTGGAGGCCAGCTACGCAGCAGCGGAGCTGCAGGTGTGTCCAGTAACCGCTACAGCTGTTCACTGGGAGTGTCCTCCTGTGCTGGGGCACTGGGTTCTTATTGTATGACAAGTTACAGGTCCCGGGAAGAGCCGCCCTGGGCGCCCCTCGCTCGGGGGAGCCGCGGACTGGCAGGGCTACGGCGGCATTTCAGTGCTGAGAGCAGAACACAAGGCGACTGTAATTCTTGTCATAGAATAAGGCTTGTTAACTCTTCCTTGCCAAATTTCCAGAGTAATTAACGGTTATTTTGCAGCGTAATCTGAAGGTTTCTGTTGATTTACAAGTGAGGTACAATACACTACTCAGCAAAGCAACCTAAAAGGAGAGAGCAGCCAGTGATGGTGCAGCAGCATGCAGTGAACTGTCATGCAGAAGACCTGGATAAAGTCTTACACCCCAGTAGCTCATAGGTAATGCACTTTGTCTCAGGGCTGGGCACACGGGATCGCTTAAAGCAGGGTTCTCCCCTCCCCGTCAGAGCTGCTCTAGAGCAATTTTGGTGAGAACAAAATAACTTTCAGAAGTGGCAGGTGAACAGACTACTCAGAAGTAATCTTTCTTGTGTTCTGTAGAGAATATCCAATCATCACACCTTTTATTGAAAGACTCACTCACCTTGGCCCTTCTGTTTCCAGGCCATCAGGAATTCCCAGCATGTCTCAGAACAATGGTCAATTATCTGGTAAGGGGTGCTAACCACATCAAAGACCTGGGGTGGGACTCTAGTCCCCTTTAATGTCGTTGATGAACTTCTAAGGACTAAAGTGAATACAAAAAGTTCATGAACTGCTTGAAAGAATAACAGTAGTACAAAGTGCAAAAACAGGAGTGCAGGAAAGTGCAGAGAAATTAACTGAGATGCGAACAATCCTCAAAAGCGTCACGTCTCCCGATGCGGAGCCAGCTTTGGCCCAGGAATGCTGTTTTGGTAACTGGGCAGCAGACATATGGAGTGCATATACTCAGTATATTTCCTTTTTTTTTTCCTGCAGGTCAAGATGAGTAACTTTGTCTAGCTGAGACTCACACTGAAGACTGGTCCCAGACCTGGCAGGGAAATAAAATGACAGTTAAAAGTCGCACCTATTTTCCTCACACATGCACAGGTGCCAGCAGCAGTACAGCACCTAACCACTGCTGAGCGAGTGCTGTACGTTTGCTTGCTCCTAGGTGGCACAATTCTTAAACCACTGACAAAGACAAGTGCTGTCAGCACCACTCTGAACACGGCGGGCTCCCAAGTGCCTTTCTCCAGCCATTGTCCCCCCTCGAGTCCTCACTGACTTGGTTTCTGTTGGTAAATGCACCTTTGCTTTCAGCTCTGGTGGGTCTCAGCCGGGTCCAGAGTCAAGCTGCTTTTGCAGTTACGGAACTAGCACAAGGGGAGGCGTTCACAGGGCCAGCGAGTTACACCGTATGTGCTCTGCTTTCATAGAAACTGAGATTTGAGTTACTCCTGTACTTTACCAGCCCTTCTGCATGCCTTTTCCTGAGAAGAGGAGAGTTCTCCAGGCTCCTTACTTACCTTATTGACTTGAGCAAGAGGAGTTCTGGCACCACTCACAGGCATTCGTCCTCGGCTGCTCTCGTCGAACAGTCTTCCAGGGGACCTTTCTCTGCGGGTGCTCAGAAGCCGACCTGGAGATTTCTCCCTCTCCAGCGGTCGCCCAGGTGACTTGTCCCTCCGCAGCTCTGTCCTTCCCTCGCGGTACCGATGTGGTGTGCTTGGTTCTCGAGGGTGGCTTGGACCTTCCGGTGGTCCTGGGCTTGATGCTACCCGCTTGGTTATGTGCTCGTTGTATGTGGGCGGACCTCTCTTGTTAGGGCTACTGTCATTCAAAAATAATGGACGCGAACAGCTGAGCGACAAAAACCTCACGTTACATTTTCTTTTAGCAAAAATGTAACTTTCCCCAGACACCCAGCAGTGCTTAGGTGAAAAAGTGTCAGACTGCCCTGAGCCAAGATGAGCAGCACAAAGGTGTTGTCCTAGCTGAGCACTGATTGCATTAGCAACACGAGCGCAGTGCCTTAACGAATTGCTAATGTAAGTCATGTCTGTGCCTCCGACCACAAAACTAATTAAGCTTTGTGTGCTCTTCCGTATAAAAGGAGACGAAAAGTGAAAACAGGCCTTTTCACGTGCAAAATTCTCAGCAGCTCCAGGACGCTCAGGCCAGGTTAGGATAAGTACAAGGCTCAGTTCTCCAGTTGCACTGCCCAGTGCCACTGTCGACGCCAGTCTTTATTCACCTGCCTGAAGCATCGCTGTTCAGAACAGCACAAGCTCCCGTCACAGCTTCCCCACGCTGTCTCCCTAAGGCGTACGCATTATTTAGGAAAAGGGGCTCTTGCTTTAGCCATTGTTACAGTCAGTCCATGTTTGGTGTCTTATCAATAGCACCCAAGGTCAACAAGCTTTCAAGTCACAGCTCTATCACAACATAGAAGTAAACCAGCTGCAGATCACAAAGCATTTGTGGAAGAGATTACCCACATATTCCTACAGAGTTAATGTTACTTTGCCTTTGGATTTTAAAACCTCAGTGACTCTACTCCTTGTTCCATTCCAGCATTACAACAATTGGCTAACGCAACCCTCTAAGAATGGAACAAGGACATCCAACGTTTTGGGGCAGGGAAAAAGCCATCTGGAGTGAAGTTTGTTTACGAGGTGCACAAGGACCGTAGCACACGGACTTCATCGTACCTGCGTGTGGCAGAAGATCCTCTGTGGTGCTGCTCGTTGTTGGTCTCCTTCACTAGATTGCCCTTACAGCAAATCACCCTTAGTTTGTCTTGGTAGGAGGAGGCCAAGTAGATAGCTCCAGACGAAATCGCAGGCCCTAGATACCGCGGATTCGGTATCTCCAAGTGGGCTCGTGCAGGAGTTCTGGGTAAAATGGCAGGAAAAAGTCTTTACAAGGCTGACACTGTACCTTTTCTGGGGAAGTACACATGTTCTCGCAGCACAAGCTGTTCAAAGTAATGACAAGAGAGCAACTTACCCTAGAGAAGCTCGTGCCTGAATCTCGATCACTTCAAGGGAGTTGAAGTGGGTCACAAACAGATAGGGCTCCCTGTAGGCTGAAGGAGCATCATAGGGGGAGGAAAAACACAAAATTCTCTGTTAAAAACCTTCTAAAAAGCATCACTGAGCACAACAAAGCCTCACAGCCCCTTGCTTAAACTAAAGGAATATATTTTCTGTAATGAGACGTAGACACTAAATAGGGAGAGGCAAGCTTAAAGAATTGTGGCTTTGAAACTGTCTGTATCTTAAGAATTTTACTAACCAAAGTATCATGAAAAAGGCATTAAACCCAGACTATTAACTGAGCAAGATCCCATTAGGGAGTGTGAAAGGCCTGAGGGAACCACTCTGACATTATATATTCTTGACTATTTCAGAATCTTCCAAGCATCATTAGAAATTCCACTATCCATTTCAATCACTGTCAGAGTAGGAACATTAAGGAAATCTAACTCTGGTTTCGTTTTCCTCAAATTGGTTGTACTTCAAAAGGTTTGCCATTCGGCTTTACAGTTATCTTAAATCATGGGAAAATCTCCATAGTTTCTGGGAGAACTGGGAGATGGAAGAGGAAATGGAAGTGCTGAGTGAAGAAGAGGAAATGGAAGTGCTGACTGAAGAATACCTGTCCCTGTGGCTTGCTTCCCACTTTCAATAATTTCCATAATCCAAGTGAATGTCCCTCAACACCTACCAAAAGCTAAGGGCAGGCGATTCCATTTCAGGTCATCTGTCCTACTGCGTCTTCCGTAGGAATCCACAAAGACACCAAACTCTGCCAAGGAAAGTAATATCATGTCACAAGCACGTGCCTGAATGTTGTTCATTTATTTCTGAAGGGACAAAGGCAGCTGACCCCGGGCCCTTTAGCAGGGACAGGGTGCTTACTATCTTGCAAATCCCAGAGTGCCGTGAATTGCTCTCCTTGACATGGACCTGGCTACATGCAGGAGGACTTTCAGTACCTAAAGGTACTGCAGGTCTAGGTCTCTCTATACCGATTATGGTAAGGTTAGTATTTAATGTACAGTTGGGAAGGCTGTGAGACTCCTACTGTAACTCACCCCAAATTACTGCTAGTGGGCTGTTGAAGACTTCTGTGCCTTTCCATGACACTAGCCTCGAGGGCCAACAAAAGCAGCTATATGAAAAATAACACCCTCTTTTATTTCGTCACAGTAAGATGAAAAAGTCTCATCTGTCTGCACGGAAACCAGACAATGCCAGCGTTGGAAAAGCCCTTAACATCATATCAGGGTAAGTGAACATCGGATCGACTACAGTCCCTTCCCTTGGGGCACAGGGCCCTACTTGTGGTAACTGATCCACAGGCACAGAGAACTTTTAACCCAGAGACAAGCTGCCCAAAAAGCACCTCAGCAAGTGCTATTTCAGTGCCAATGCCCTGTGCATCTTCTTCCTGTTATAACCACCAGCCACAACTCTTCCAGAGCTTTCAGATTCACAGTCTTCAACAAATCTTCATGACCAGGTACTAGAAAGTCACATCTGTTCAGCTTTCCCTTACCACAGTACTTGGGGACCTTCTGGCAGTTCAGGTACCAGAGAGCAGATGTAGTGCAACAACTGCGCAACCACAAAACACACTTACCGTGGAAACACAGCAGGTACTCCTCCCTCTGCCCCGTTGGGTTCACTTGGATGATACTGACTGGAAAACTGTTGGTGGAAGCAGCAAACACAGCAGAGGCCAAAGTGTGGTCATTTTTATCCAGAAACTCTGCAAAGAGAATGGAGAAAAACAGCCTGATCGGCACCAACTTTTTTCCTGAACAGCTTTAGAAAAGCCCCACCAAAAGAATCTGCAGAGCCTCTTGGTCCATTCCCCAAGAAAAGCCTCCTACCTTCCAGCGTATACTGCTTCATCTCAATTTCATAGAACTTGTTGGTTCCAATGATGATGCTGTAAGTGGTCAAATGGATGCAGCTGCAAGGTTCAGAGGTTTCGATCTCCTGGAAAAGAGGGAAGTATGGGCCGATATTAGTTCCCTGTAACAGTTTACAGATTTTGCTTATTCTGGAAGATTCTATGTTGCATCTGTCTTTATAAAAGGGAGAGATGGCAAGCTCGAAGTCACTAACAGTCTCTCAAAAGCATATGGAAAAGTATTCTTGCTAGAAGAAAAATTTTTGTTCTGTTGGAGGTGACGCGTGCTTGAAGATAGCCTTGCATATCAACTCACTCCAGGTGCTAACCCTAATAAGGACCTCTTCCTTTTGGAAGAATATGCTATTCTAGAAGATACTCTTCTCTGTAGCTCAGTTTTCCAGAGCAGTAGGGAGTGGCTCCCTACTCAGAACAGGTCACAGCCATGCCAACCACTGCATGTCCAAACACTGTCTGGAGATGACACAAGACAAGGACCGAGCCGTTAGGGTTGAACAACAGACTTTATAACTCACGGAGCAAAACCCTTGTCAGTAGGCATGTCCATCACTGTGATTCTCCCAACGGAAAGAACCAGCTCCCTAAAGCATCTCTGCTGCTAACACTTAAGAAATTAGCTTGGTGGCTCCTTAAGCAAAAGGCAGGCAAACATACATGATCTTCCTTCCTCCTTGTCCAACCTAACACAGATCCGTTGTCCACCGAGATCTGCACTGTGACTGAACAGCTCGGATAGCTCTCCAGGTTAGCCTGACACAACACGCAGATCCCCAGATCTTCTGAGGACAAGAGTCCTTGCATAATTCCTGGTTTATCTGGAAATATAGCTGGCAGAACAGAAGAGCGTATTCTGGGCTTGCTGCCATCTGGTTAGGATCTAAATGCAGTTGTCTGGATTAGTGAAGATAAGGAGAAGCTGCCTCCCAAAGCATGCCTTTGCACGTAAGCCCTCGTCAAGGCACTTGGCACTAGGGAGGTGAACGGCAGCCCTAGCAGAGGACGGTGCCATCCGTCAGTGTCTCCTGCCGGCTGCGGCTCCATTGTGAGCAAGAGTTGCTGTCAGCTACAACGCTTGTCCATGTTCCAGGTTTGCCGGCATCCACATCGTTTGTGCCAAGATCTTCTCCATCAAACATGTCCTTCCTTCGGATGAGGCCAGCGTCTGGATTACCGCGCTGGGCCGACGCTGCTCCCTTACAGCAGCGCAAGTGCAGCGCTCGGCGGGGATAAAAGCCTCAGTCGAGCTGTAAATTGAACTGGTGCCTTCCAAGTAACCTGCAGGAGCCCACAGGGATACCTGAACATCCCTTAGTTTGTGAACTGGAGAGAAGATGAGTTTCTGGGTACCAGCCCATTTTAAAAGCAGCGTTTCCTTCCCATGCCTGGCAGAAAGAAGCAAGGCACGTACCAGTACCGAAGAGCACTGGTATTGCAGGTAGGTGGGTTACACACAGAGGTGTGCACCCAGCCGTGTGAGATCCGTATCTTACCGCCCTGTTTGCTGGCCAGGAGAAAGTACATGTCTATCAGGGTACTTCTGGGAACCAGCTGCCTATCCTGTGCTGGAACACCACCAAGTACCCTCTGGGTTTCACTGGTACAGTAAGCAAAGCAGACACCCACCACTTCCTCAACGGCGAAGAAGCTGTCGTTTGTTACGGATTTCTCCAAAGACAACAGAGGTGAGAGAACACTGCTGGATAACGAAGAAGAAAGCCTTTTTTGGGTAAATAAGCGAGGTTACGATTACAGCTGAGTCCAGTACCTCAAAAAAATCACAGTTCTGTATCTCTCCGAATATGCCAGCTCTAATTAAAGGAATTTGCTGCCTACTCCAATTTTAGTCAATGCACGTTGCAATTTGCTATCATTTTAGCTGACAAACAAACGTTCTTATGCATACAAAAAGGTTTTAAGATGTTTGCTCCAAAGCAAAGTCTTAGTGCAGTACGTGAATTGCCTTAGCTACTGATGGGAAATACTAATCTTACCTTTCTGATACAGAACTTGCTCAGGCTCTCGTTGTATCGCAGAACAACCACCTTATTGGGCATGGCTGCACAGATACAAAGACCATTCTCGACCTGTAGGGAAGATGGCAAGTGTAGTTCAGGAAGGTGACACTGAGTAAATTCTAATGCTGAGCATGTGAAATGGAGCTGAGTACCTCTTGCCACGAGAAAAACTTCACAGAGATAAGCAAGTCCATTTTTAATGGGGTAGTTATTGTGAATTAGGGAAACAATGAAAAGCCTCTTCACGTTCTCAAAGGAGAACATGAATTTGAACTGCTTCTATGATTGGTTTTATACTTGAAAGAAGTTAATACAAGATCTGAAGGTTTTCCACAAAAAAATGTTTCATTAAAAGGGAGAAGAAATTCACATTGGTTAGGTCTAAATTTTAACCCCTGAAACTGTTATCCTAAACATCACTTTGAAAGGAACGATGTTCCGTTTGTTATCAAGGTAGTCTGTAGACGTAATTGTTAATGAGAATTTTTGCTGTGGCTCAACGTTCCGTACTAAAACTGGGAATTAATGTGAACATCAAGTGTTAGGAAGTGACGCAGACACCCAAGTAAATTTGCTAGCCTGGAAGGTGTTACATGACATGCAACAACAAACAGTTACAGATGGAATTCACTGATTATGAATCTCAAAATTGAAGTCAGCTGTGAGGAGGCAGTTATCCTACACTATGCTGTATTTATTTGCTATACCACCATGTCATCCTGACCGAATCTATTCGTAGTCGATCCTCTGTACCATCTCCAGCTCAGCCCTTCTTCAGCCCCTATACTCTTATTTGAAGAAAAAAAAATTGAAACAAGACTATAGATCTTGCCAGTGAAACAAAGACGCTGATTTCATTAATATTAAACTCTGTGCAGTCTAAAGGGTGGTCTGGGGGCACGAGGGAGCTGTATCCTACCTTGCCAGCGGCAAAAAGGTGACATCCTTTCACAGCCTCAAAAACATTTGGTGAGATATCGGGCTGGGCTGGGAGGTGAGACTGGGCTAGAGATTGCTTCACTTTCTTTACATCCACAAGACACAGAGCCCTTTCTTCTCCTAGAAACAAAAATGGTTACATTTTGTCAAGGGAAAACTCCCTATTCTCTACAAAAGTCTGTTCTGTTACCTAAGCAGCAGCCTATCAGCACAGGCTGTTACTGTGGTAACAGGTACCATGTAGAATTCATTCCATATTATTCCTATTAAAATTGAAACAGAAAACTTACAAAAACCCAACCACACAACAGGCTGTAAATCCACTGGGAGAACAACCGTTCTCTCCATGGGTCATTAGTGTTGCAAAGGTCTAGTAGATCAGAAGAGCTGTGGCCTCATTAGCACACTATTCCAAATTAGCCAGGAAGTTTTATTTTACCCTTCAGAATTTCTTAAAGTACAAGGTGCTTTAGCCTCTCTGTGCCAACAGAACTGGCAATGGATTTCCAAGAAGTGCCCTAATAACTTGTGTTGTAGACCGAGCCAAATTCCTCTCAGAAGTCCAGCGATACAGTAACATAACCTTCTCCTATGTTTGTGTGAGATTTTCTTTTTCCAATTGCTTTTTTCTCTACCATCCTGAAACAAATAAAGCATGGAGAGCTTAAATCTTTACAAGGGGAAAACTGCAGAACAAACAGAACAAGAGAGATAATTTGTTTGTCATTCCCTACAAATGTCATATAGACACTTGATAATTTGGGCTTTCGGATGAAGATACACCCTAATGCTCAGCATGCCTACATCAGCGTAGGAAGGATTATCTCTGGAAAATCACAGATGGAGAGATTAAAGCTGGTGTTCCTTTCATAAGAGAATCTTAAACAAACATGAAAGTCTCAATTTTGTTCATGGATTAGTGTTTAGAGCAAGAGAGGTTAAGAGTTGTTGGCCCTAAGCCACAGTGATCACATCATGGTCCCCAAATGGTTAACTACGTTAAAAAGAAGGGTTATGTAGTGATTGGGAAGAGATACGCTCAGTGATGAGCTCAAAACTTTTTAAATGCAACTTCAAATGACAACGAACCCCCAAGCTGGAAATGTTTTACCTCTGGTTCCTCCCTCCCTCAGCTTTGGAAACTAAGGAATCACTTAAAGGCCTAACTGAGCCTCATTGACAATAAAACCTCAGCCAATACCGTGTTAACCACAGGAGTTGATTCCTGACGAAATACTGGAAAACAGCCTCCCGAAGGAAAGCTGGCCCTTTGGCACCGCAGCGCTCCCAGCAGTACAAAGCCATTGCCACACATTTACTGCAGGGCAAATGGTAACATGCAGTCTCCTACCTGCTATCATGAGTAGCTTCTCCAGATCCTTGATGAGGTGAATTTGGAAGACAGCACCCATTCCTGGGATGTGCGTTAAGGAATTCTTCAGTACGTTCAGGGCATAGAGACCTTCTTCTGCACCCACCAGTACTACCTACAGTGACAACAGAAAAAAAAAATTGGTGCTACATGAAGAGAACAAGGAATGCTCCAAGAGCAAGCTTGGACAATACTATTTACCAGTGAAGAGAAGAAAACCAACCCGATAAACAACTACAGAATTACCCCTATTGCTCCTGAGATACTGTTCACACGAATGAAACATCCACGACTCAGAAAGGCCCAAGTGAACATTATCATTACCTGGTCACTGAAGGGCATTGTGCAATTTATATCCAAACGGTCTTCACCCTCCAGCTTCAGCAGGGAGTTTCCGAGCAATTTCTGCAAATGACAAAAAGATATTTTGTTGTTGTTGTTGAGTCAATCTTTATCTCTTTCTCTATTAGTATTTTAACAACGCAAGGTCATCATTTCAGACAGGCAAAAAGCTTGGCACAGATTTCTTCATCTCAGAAAGCTAAAAATTGCAGGGATATCACCTACAAAAGAAGCAGCAAACTTTTACCTGCCTAAAACACAGTCAGGCAAACTGATCAGAATTAACCTAAACTCAGACAGAACCTACTTGTGTCCCTATCCTTTCCATTTCCCCCCATCTGCCACAACAGAGCGGTGAAATTTTCCTAGGGGAAGGACTGAAAAAAAGTCCAAATGTTGGTGGGAGCATGTATTATCCTCAGAGACAAAACAAACGACAGATTGAGAAAAGAAATTATTTCCTGCTAGTCAGATATTAGGTATCTCCAAAGCTAACATTCTAATATGCAATGCCATCGAATCAAATCTCCCTTTATCAGAAAACAGAGAGTTATCAGTGCAACAATGAGGAAAAAGGCTATCCAAACCCAAAACAAATCCATTTAACCTCTTATCAGGAATAAAACTTAAACTAAAACACACACGCATCCCTCCCCCTGCAAGAAATAAAAAACCCCTGACTCCTTAAGAATGTGAGAGGAGGGAGCTTTTTCTTGTTTCTTGCTTTCTTTTTTTTTTTTAAGGTTTGTTCATTCCATGTGGTACATTATGAGATTGCATTTAAACCATGTCCTAACTGCTCTTTCTTCCTTTTCTGTTTGCTGGAATTACAGAGATACAATTTTGGGATCCTCTTACTACACTCCCCAAGTCTAAAGAAGGGGTTTGTAACATAAAGCATCAGTCTCACAACGAACTAGTTTCCTGCTGTTCATATTGTACATCATAAGGCAGAAATAACAACTTACCTGCAGTTAAACCTCAGTATGTCAAATACCGAAAAATCATTTTTCAAAACTCTGCTCCCTCCCAGAATATTTTATTATTAAATGAAACTTTTATACTCACAGCATCAGCCTCAGCTTTTTCTCTGGAAACTCTCCCACCTGCCACTATTGATTCCAGTGCTGTGACCCAGCGCTGTTTGTCAGGGAAGCTGGGTGCTAACAGGTAGAGTGTTCTACCAGGCCAGCAAGTGGTGTGTGGATGAGACTCCAATTTTAGGATATATGGCACATCTGAGATGTTATATAGATAGAATAAGACTTAGATTAGTTTTTGGAATATTGTCAGTGGACTTAAAATCAACACCTTTCAGCCTCATTGGAGAGAAGTTGTATTTATCATGATGCGTTGCCATGGCAATTTATACATAGGTTTCTCCTTTACAGGTCTTGCACAGGCTGGCTACTTAAAGCTAAACATTAGCTGGATGTATGCAATCCATACATGCAGTGCTGTCTCTTCTAAATAAAAATAATTTCTTGCCTTTTATTCAAAAGAGAAAGAAATACCATTGTGGGAAAAAAAAGGTACAAAACCAGCCACTTGACTAAAGTTTTCCCTGTACTGTTCAAGAGAAATATGTAAAAATTGGTTATGGAAACCTTTTTTTTTTTAACAATCTGTATCCTTTAATGTCAAAGTCAAGACATACATAATCTTTTCATCAGTTCTATTCAATACATACAAATCAAGACATCAACATTTTTTCATAATAAGAGACTGTTTACACCCCACAGTATTTCTAAGGTAATGACTTTCTGGTTAGAGCACAATCGTGGCATGAGTTATGACACTTCACACTTGATAGAGAGCATTGAGAGCAGAAAGTGAAATAAACTGAGTGCTTTTAAGTAGGTTACAAAACTCTGAAATCTCCTTCCATTTGGCTTGATGATTCTATGAGTCACAGTTCAACTACTAGGACAGAAGCAACCGTCTATGCGTAACTGACTCTGGATGACTGACTTATTCACCTAATTCAAATAGAAGTAACCTCAAAATTACACAGTTACAGAATGAAAGTGAAAGGGCGAAAATTCTGTCCAGCCAAACACAATGCCAACTGATGGCAAGCCAGATGAAATCCATTTGACCTCATCTACACAAGATTCTCACCTGTCTTTGCTGTATTGGTAAGTTCAGTAGCTCCTACAGCTCCATGAACAGTTACATCGCCATCAGGAAGGCAGAGCTCAAATTCCTCCAGAGGCCTCTGTCCAGCTGCAGGGAGAATGGGGAGACAGACGGAGAAAGAAGAACAAATAAGTAAACAGCAAGAAAGTAACTGTGACAGCAAAACGAAGTCGATGTTTCACAGCTGGATTATTATGACATACCAGCTAGTAAAACTGTTAAGGGCCTAGAAAAACAACAGTGCTGCCTTATTACAGAAGATTTAGCTAAATTAGGTATGGCCACAGCAAACAGTAACAATCTTCAAGCCTCTCAACTCACCAGACAATACCTGAAGATTAAAAAAAAAGGAGTTCTTCCTAGAAAATGCTAAGTTACCTTCTCTTGCTTCTGCATCATAAATGAGCACTTTCGTTCCCTCCAGGACAATATACTTCCTGTCCCAGCCCTGCTGCCCACGTTTATTATTCCTGAAGAAAATAAGCACAAAGCCATGTTGGATTTTCTGCTTGAATTCTGAATAAAACAAGCATGCAACTCCTAGAAAGACAAATTTCAGTGGTAAGAAGTAACCGTAACGGGACAGTACCAATTATCACATTGTAAGAGCCAGGATAATACAAGGAGCTGTTCCAAAGGTTTCGGCACCCGATATGGCACCAGGATTCATGTTTATACCTTGGCACTTTCATCCATCCTTCAAGACGCAGACTGCTGCTTGGCTCCTTCAGCTGCAGCCCGGGAGAATTCATTTTGTCCCGGCAGAATGCTTCAGAGAAGTGCGTGGCATATTCTGCTGGCAGCCCACAAGTAGCTGGCAAGCAAGTGGAGCATTTTGGGTGACACATCACCTGGCATTCTGACAAAAGGACAGAGAAAAACTTCTGTTAAATGACAAAAAAAGCCATGACACAGCTGTCAACTTCTAATGCACAAATCCCAGCTTTTCCAAGAATCTCCTACTCTAAACCCTCAGATGTGTTCTCCTGTAGAATGTTTGCACCAACTAGTTTCAAAGTCTTCATACTTGGTCCTTTCTCCACCTTCCACTGCCAATCTGTTCTAGATGGCTGATGGGTCCTTTCTCCACCTTCCACTGCCAATCTGTTCTAGGTGGCTGATGCTTTTCCATCCCACAGGTGGCTGACGCAGGCGCTCTGCTCTTACCCAGGCATTTCGACGCTTGCCGTCCGAAGTGCACCGTGTCCAGGCACACCGCGCATTTCGTGGCTCTCATGTTCAGCCCCACGTTGAAGCGGTGGGGGATATTATGGTGCATTCGCTCTTTCAGGCGGCGGCTGTACTCTGGAAGGGACAACGTTTATTATCGCGATGAAAACTGCGACAGGGATGAAAATGATAGCAGGTTTTAGGCATTTGGGGCGGTAAGGCCCAGGTAATAAAAAGTGACTACACATCTCTATCGAAGTCCTGCTCAACACGGACATCATTTTCCTTTGCAGTCTGCATATCATCTACTGATGAACGTGATTCTCTTCCCTGCCCATGATCTGCCTCCGTGGACATCTTCCCATGCCAGTGCTACCCATCCTCAGAGCACCCTGTGCCTCTCCAGCTATCTGTGATGGCTGGACCAGTTTGTGGGCTCTAGCTTTTTCCAGCTAAAGGCTGGAGGTTTTATGTCAGAGTCTCTGGGTTCAACACTCACTCGGGGATACTGGTTAACTAAGAATAAACGAACAGAGCCCTCAATCCTTTAATTTCTTCTGATGATCCTCTCCCCTCCATTCTTAAGGATACGGAAGGGCATCCCATTTTTCTAGTTAATAGGATATCAGTGTCATCTTTGACCCAGTATCTTTCCTTTATGCCTAACCAAAGTCTTTTCCCTTTACCAAAAGGTCTTAATGGAAACTTTTGGCTCAGCAGAATAAATCTTCAGTTTAGATAAGTAAAAACATTAACAGCTAAGGAAATAACCATAAATCCTTTTGATTAATGCAGAGAGTAGTACACAAAACATTCCTTTCAAAAAAACATGCGCTTAAATCAATTCATGCTAATAATTACTTTACTGCTAAAGTTTTCAGAAATAAATTACATAATCCAAATAGAGAATTTTAAACCAAAAATGAAAGCAAAGCTTATCATCTAATATTCCTATAATGAAGAAAACGTGGGTTTGAAATTTAAGGAAAAAAAAAAAAGAGATAGCACTGAACTAGTAGACAGAAAAATAGTAACAGAACAGTTCACCAAGAACATACCCTCTGGTGTGGAAGATTCCTTCCTGCGACTGGAGGGTGGCGCGAGCAAACTGATCGGAGTAGGCTGATGCTCTGGTGAGCGGACTATGGCAGACATGATGATCTGCTGCCTGGCTGTGGCCGGAGTAGATGGATGAGGGTGGTCTGATATTTTCCGATGAGCAGCTATGGATGAGATAAACGTCACTCATTACCAGAAGCAATATGAAACACCGGTTCATAGCAGCGGTTCTGTGTTAGCCATTCAGTGGTTACAGCTCGCAGAAAAAAGCAGCCTTACTGCATCTTCACAGCAGTAGATAAGAATTAAGCAACATATGTTACTGCTAGAGTGGCACACAGTTAAAGGCTCGTTTTCAGACCAAAAACGTGCGCCTCCTTCCAGATTCCACTTTTCTGTTAACCCCTACCTTCTTCACGAGCTGATCTGAGTTCAATGCGTGTTTTCTGTAGAGCCTCCTCCAGCTCAGCAGAACGAGCCTTCTCCTTCTCCAGTGCCACTTTCAGCTCATTGTATTGCAGAGGAACCTGTGTGGGTAAAGAAGGGTCCTCTTTCCGCCGACTAAACAGGCCCTAGCAACAGAAACACACAGACAACTCCTAACTCCTAGTAAGAGATGGCTTAAACTAGGCAAAGTGAAACTAACTAGTGGCAGTCCGGCCAGAGGGCCTCATGGTAATTCTGATATGCGTAAGGATGGATTTTTAGTTCATATTGGCACTGGAGAGAAATGTCGAGATATGGATTAATTTAAAGCGGGACGTACATTACCTGTTAGTACTCACATCTTGAGTTTCCGAAAGCATCTAAACAGAGGATCTCAAAATATGTGGTTAAAATTAAATTATTTAGTTCAAAATGACAGAACGGCTTATGACAAAGATGTGACACAAGTCACATCGCCTGACTAATCAATCCTATGCTGTAGCTACAAGACAACCACCCTAAATATGCTCGTACATACTTACCATTACAAAATAAAAAAGCATTGTTAAAATTCTGTATTCCTACAGCCTCACTGACGTGTAGCTACTGGGTTGTAACCTAAGCATTACTGTAGGCATAACAAAATACTGGAAAAGCCACAAAGAACACGTTCTGCCTAGCAAAGTTTGCATTCAGCGACTCAAAATGCTCTTAAATGAGGACACGTTTGTGTTACACAAAGAAAGATAAAACAGAATATTATGATTACACAGCACGTAGCTAATCACAAAACCATCATTTAATTCCATGCCTCTCAAAACCTTTTTCACCCACCTTTTTCTTTTTCGCTGGTTGGTCCATCTTTGCCTGCAGGAAATCAATGAGTTTGGTTTGCTGAGAAATAGTGCCCTCCATTTTCACTTTTTCATGGGAATAAAGAACCTGTGAACCACACACACATATGAAAAGAAACAGATAACTCAACAGCAGAAGAGAGTGAAAAAATAGTGCAAGGAAAGTGTCACACACAAACAGTAGATCACACAGCAGAGCACAGAGTCCTGCCCATTGTTTCCTCACCCTCACCTGAATGTTTTCCAGCTGATATTCCAGGTCACTTCTTTCAGTCTTCAGTAGATCTGCTCGATCTAGAGCCTCTTGCAGACCTTGAGTTAGGCGGAAGATGTGATTCTTTTGCAGATCCATTTGCTGCTGCAGCTTTGCCTGCTGTTAACAGGAAAACGAGGGCCAGTGTTTCAGTGTGATTGCTTGGTTTTAAATAAAAGCTATGAAATGTTATCACTCCTTGTAAAGTAAGCGTCATTGTGGAACGTGAAAGTAAACAGACAATTCTTTAAAAGCTGGAAAATTACAATATTCTAGAAGTCTTCCTTCCTTTCAGAATGTATTATGACTAAACAAGAATTTCTATGTAGTATTTATAATAATTCGTAGCAACATCATTTCTTGCAACTGCATGTTCAAGTCACTTGCTTTTTTAAGCATTTAAGATCTTGTAATTGTTAATAAGGCTGCACATACATGAAGAATTTCTCAATGCCATTTTCTCAAGCTCTCTATACGATCACCAGAAGCCATCTCAGTACTTTGTTATTAAAACAAATCTTCCTATAAATTAGGATCAACTCCTTCCTCTAAAGTCATAGGAGATAAGGAAAATTATGTCCAGTTGTTTACATCTTTGTCTCCAACTAACAACAGAAAAGGGCACATGATAAACTACTCCTAATTCTTTCAGGTTTTATACTTTCTTGATGAGAAAGTCCCTGAGTATGAAAACCATTAACCCTCATATGTTACGAAGCAAGAGCCAGAAATCTTTCACTGTGATGCATAACGCAACTCTGGGATCACTTGTCAGTACCCCAAGTACACCAAAAGGCTGTAATTGCCCTGCCTAATTGCCTGTAACCACCCTTCCCCTGAAATCCTGCTCTGCAACCTCTCCCCCCACTACCAGGTCTGGCTGCCCGCATTCAGTGTCTCCCTGATATGGTGCTGGTGTGTGACCTTGGATCAGACTTCCGTGAACCAAGCTAAAGAATGAAAAAAGAGCTGTGAGAAGCCTCACCTGAGGCCTCCACACGTGCACCCTCAGTACACTGGCTCCAGAGCTGTTTTTAAGCTATGGTCCTTGCACTCAGTCTGGTCAGAGCTGTGTTGTAAGAATAGTTAGGCATCAGTCTGTTCCTGGGCACAGACCTTGCCTTGCAGACCTGACCTAGGATGTACCTCTTAACTACGGGCTTCTGTAACGATCACTGGGGCACTGGCTGAACCTGATTACCTTCACCAAACCTGCTCTGCTCTTCCTCTTCAGGTACTGTGGGATTGTGCCCACTGGCTGCAAGGTCTCTGCCCCTGCTTGACTTGCTGTCACCCTTGGCTTCCAGCTCATCTTCCCTTGAGGAGCAGTTCACTTTTACAGCTCCCTGACATGGCTGCATGCTTTGCAAAGCTTTAAGTAAAAACAAAGCCTCCAACTTCATTGTAGTTATGTATGTAGAAGAACGATGGATGGGTAACACTGCTAATCACACAACGTCCTCCCCTCACGAGGTGGAACCTCCTTCTGAAGTTGTAACATGAAGCTCCAAGGTTACCTCCTCCAGAAGCCTCTGCTTGAGCTCCCTCTCTGTCTCAAGCTTCTGTTGTAAACTGCGTGCATTCATCTCCAACATAGCATGCTTCTTCTCCAGGTCATTGAGCTAGGCAGGTAGGATATATGGTCAGAATAACATTGAACACTAATAAATACAGTGTTCCACAATCTTAAAATCCAACTTCAACAAGCACACACGAAAGAAAAATTATATAATTATCCTTTATTTACTGTAAGGGGAAGAACCAAAACAATAACATTTTGGTATGCCATTGCTCAAATGCAGATTATCAAATTATTGAAGGACTTCACTGCACACTCCAGGAACCATAGGCTGCTTTCTGCTTTAGTCTTTTTCAAAAGGAAATCCGAGGTCTTTGGCTTGAAGATAGAATTCAATTCTCTGACCTCCGGTCTTTTTAATTTGCTCTAACATCTTGAAAAAGCTGCTTAGGACCACATTTCTACAAGTAATATCTCTAGAAAAGTGTCTCATCTAATTATGAAAGCCTGGGGTTGAAAGTTACTTACCTTATCAGAAAGGCTCTCAGCTTTGAGCTTTTGTTCCTTCAGTGCTTGCTGGAGGGCTAGAATCTCTGCCTTGTGTTCTTTGACAGCTAGCTCTACCACCTGGCGAGATTCAGTAATACGCTGATCTGCTCTCACTCTGCATTAAAATGGAAAAATTGTTACCTAACTCCTTTCTGGGCCTGACCTCTCCCTAGCATGCAGTGGCATCAATAACTCTTTCAGGGGTTTGCCTCAAATTCAAGATGTTACTTTATAAAGCCAGACTGTTTGCTGCAACACTTTTATATTATATAACCCTGTTCCTGCCCCTGCTAGAACTACAGCCTGAAAATTTCCAAGACCCCACAGGAACAGTTAGGAGCAAAGACTATTTTTCCATACAATAAAGCAGAAGATAATAAATCAAGACGTTTTATAAATTACAATGATAAGTACCACTCCCCATGAATCGCTCACTTGCTAAGAAACAAAAGGAACAATATCACTGGTGAATGACTATTAACTAATAAACTAATTTTAGAACTACCTCACAAGGATTTATATTTAGTTCTAACTCCCATATCCTATTCTAAATATAATTTTTGTACTAGCTTCTATAGAGCATTTTCATAAAAGTTAACAAAAGGAGGAGGAAGGGGGAGAGACCTGCTCTGTTTCTCGGTATCCAGCATCCTCTGCAACTCTCTAACTCGACATTCAAACTGGGACTTCTCATCCCCTAGAACGCTTCTCCATGCTTCCCACTGGCGCTCCTTCTCCAAGAGTTCATCGTTCAGGGCCTCCAAGTCCATTACTTGCTCTTCCAGCATTGTACATGTTGTCTTCAAGGCCTCCATAGTCTAAAAATAAATCCTCCTATCAATTCTCACATCCCACATCAAGCGTGCACTTTAAGCTTCAGCCTTACCATTTAAATTACAGCACATGCAAATTGGCAGCAAACATAAGCTGGGAAATCACAACCCATTTATTTCAAGGCTTCCATACATCCACTTGTGATTGCCGTTAATGTCAGTTCTATCTCAGTAGGAAAATTTCGAAATTTCCAGGGTCAAAAAATTAAAACGAATAATTCTAAGTTGCAATATCTTCAGAGTGCATCATTTCTCAATAAAATTGCAAAAAAATATAATGGGAAATATCAAACATTTCCATTCACTCATCTGCTCTGGGAAGGATGACTTAAATAGTTTAAGCCATTGCCTCTGGAAGCACATTAATTCCTTGTCAGGTTCCAGATTTAAAAGAATCTTTTGCCTTTCAGATAACTAACTAGCCATCACAGAGAGATTGGGATGCAGCCTTAGAAAGCCTTACTTGTTTCTGACTGGTAAGCTGCATTTCCCTCTCCGTGATCTCCCGACGGAGATGGTCGACTTCACTTCGCAACTGGACAACCTCATCGTTGGCCCCTGAGGCCTCATCAAGCTGTTTGGACAGGAAGAAATTCTGATTGTTCAGTTCTGCATTGTCTTCACTGAGCTGGTTCAGCTGCTCTTCCAAATCCGTGATCACCTAGAAAGGAAAATAAATTAAATTACATTTCAGTGAGTGCAGTTTTTTGAAAAAGTGTTCTTCTCTCACAGAACCATTTATTGCCAAGCAAGGAGACAACCTGGCTCTTAAATGTTTTCGAATTTAAACAAAAGCAATATTTTAATGGCAAATTTTATGCACAGGAGTGTACTTTGATTAGGAACAGAGTTTTGTTTCTTACAGAAAATAGCTCGATTTTTTTTAAAATCTGGTTTAGAGTATAAATATGCTGCTATGCAATTTATTATTCGAGAGAGAGCTGTCACATCTAAAGCACTGGATTGGGAGTCAGGAGCTCTGGTTGCATTCTCAGATCTGGTGCTGCCTTACAGTGGGCCTTTGCCAAAGCACTTTACCTTTTTTTGCCTCAATTTCCCCTTCAGTGAAGTGAGGCTAAGAGCCCTCACGGAGGCTTTTGAAGCACGATATTTAAGAAAACTGAAGAAGAGGTGCAATGGAGGCAGCACAACCTGATGAATCTGCCTGGCAATCATTTTTATTACTGTACGTGACACTGCATGTAACCAGGAAAAGCAGAAAAATGTTAAGAAATATATTGTGTCAAAGTAACAGCATTACAGATGGCAGCACGGGGTATATGAAGGAAGAAAACAGTGTGGCAGCACAACTGACTAACTGAAAACCAGTGAAAAGCAAAAATTCAACAAGGACAAGAGCCTTGTCCTTAATGAAGTAGAAACGTCCAGTTGTTTAATCAGAAAGGAAGCATACTACAGGCTTTAAACCACATTCCACTTCCATTTAAACAAAAATATGAACAACAGTGGGCCGTTTCCACAGTCCCACTTGATTTTTGTGAATGAAAGGCTACGAACACTGGATGAAGGAATATCTGTACCTCCTCCTAACTCAAAACCAATGTCATCACAACAGAAGAGAAAGGAACCTCAGTATAATCTTGAAATCAGCTTAATTAAAAGAATTTCAGAGCTTTCCAGTTTCTATACCATTCATATTCAACTCTTACAAACATGTTCTAGAGGCATTTTTGCCTGGATGTCAAAGAAAAGTGAATAAAATATTTCATTAAACAAGAAAAATTAAAATCCCAGAGCACAGTTGGCCACACATTCAAATTTAAATGTTCCAATTTACTACACAAGCCAAGGGCTGAAATATCTAAAGCAGTAGAGCATAGAGCTCTTCTCAGCTATCTGGAAAGATGAAACCATTTCTTTTTGAAGACTCTGTAATGCATATATTGGCAGCCTATCTAGATCTAAATTAACAGTATATTGAGTTTTAAATTGTCAGCAGAAAAAGTCCAACTGACATTACTCCCTGCTGGGTGAAGGGGAGTTCCTGCTACCCCCGTGTTCAGGGTCAAGTTGAAATGATTTGTACTCCAAAACACAACATTTCTAATGAAAATCTGATCCCGTGGCTGTTCCTTAAGCACTTACTGCCCTATTCAAACTACATTTTATTCGTATTGTATGTGTCGAGCTTTCAAAGCACGCAGACTGTATCACAGGATGTGTTAGTGCCTCTATTACTGTAGGGATAAAGGCTTAGAAATGTATTTATATCAACAAAAAGGAACAAAAGAACATTTGTTTTTACAGTGTTTTACCTGCCATTCTAAAAGTAACATCCAAGAATTCTACTAACTGCTAGATAACATAGTCTCTCTCTTTCTTCTACTTGTTTTTATTTTTATGTTTAACCACACCACGTATCCAGGCAGTTTTAAGATCTCTTTTATACATCCATGGCTTCTTCCACATACACTTTACATATTAATACAGGTACTTTCAATAAAAGTTATTAAACTGGTTTTGAAATACAAGAAAGCAGAGATGGGGAAACAAAATTGATACGATGACATGCAGAGTTAATTTAATATGTCAAACTACTTAATTAATTTTTTTAAATTTGCTGTATTTCAATTTGATTTTATCCTTTAAGGGCCAGAAGTTAAGCACCCATTTGCCGTTATTCCATGTTCTGAGATTTTTACTTCTTTCCTTGAACATAACTAAAATTAAACCAGACCATTTTAATTTCACTGTTACATTTTATCTATTAGGATATTTCTGGAAAACTTAAGACAGATAACAAAGCAGTTAAGAAAAAACGGTTCCAGAAGAAGTGACATGATCTCCTTTCTTGAATATTTTTCCTAACAGTATATTTATTGACAATTCCAGAATGGCTTGGCTTAAATTATATATTATTATATATACAATTTTTCTTTTTTCATGGGGAAAGGGGAAATTTTTAACTACTCCAATTTTTAAAAGTCATCTCCAGCTATGTCTAACCCAACAGGGTTAGAGTTTATAAATACTATAAAGCCAAAACAGTAACGGGTAATACTGACACAGGAAAATGGAACATGGCATGATATGTCTGTCCTGGGAACCAAGAAGAAAGAAAACACAGATCAAAAAACTACATTTGATAGGAAATGTTGTCTTACGCATACATATATACACACAACCTATGCCAGAATCCTGTACCTGAAAAGAGTTAATAGCTTTAGGTGTTTTTCTTTTGGCTAAGGAAATCCCCAGGCAAAAAAAAAAACCAAACACAAAAAAACACCAAAACCAAACCCAAATAAACCAACAAACCCACCTCAAGCTATTCTGGAGTTAAATTTCTAAGTACATTAAAGGAAAGCCTGTAAGAAAACACTATTATATCCTTTAAAAACCTACAATATCATTACAAAAATCTTCACATTTGAAGTTTATAAAACAACCAAACGCTTGAAAGCGTGGCAAAGCAATTCCAGACAATCTAAGCAGCCTTATCTGTGCCACCGTATCATCACTCACAGAGCGACTGAAATTTTCTCTTCAATCTGTGCACATCTTCATCACAACTAATCCACAAGACAGAGATATAATCTAACTACACCATGCTAATCTTGGCTGATTGTTCACTACGTGCCACATCTAAGTGCACAATTTATCTTCATACTGACAGAGAAGACTGTATCTCATTTTTAAATATTACAGAGCAGCCCAAGCTTAGCAGCTCTTCAGCAAAAGTGACCATATTCAGCACAACTCCCTCCCCATCGCTTCGTTTCAGAAAAGCAAAGTGTTTCTCCACTGTGAGATCGTGCAGCTTCACAGCTGGTACACCTGGCTCTACAAACTTCTCCAGGCACGGATCACAAATTTGCACAGCAAGAAGCAGTTCAGGGCCACGATGATTAGGTTTGCATATCAGACACAATGTACAAATCCATATGCTCCGAAATTTAATCCGTATGCTCCATGTATGAAAACCACAAGCAAAATAATGAGGGAAAGAAGAGAAGGAAGCAGTTTTAGAATACTTCTAACTGCAGTTTGCAAACTTCTCCATAACTTTACTCCTTCACGAAGATGTCTCAGCTCTCAGATGACATCAACAAACACGCAGGAAAACGCTAGGACACAGCAAGGTTGACTGCTTAGGGATGCTACCAGCAGCATGTCAGTTGGAGTTTAACACAATTTTTCACACAACCGTAATTCAGAACTTAGAATCACAGAACGGTTTGGGTTGGAAGGGACCTCAAAGATCATCCTGTTCCAACCCCCCTGCCATGGGCAGGGACACCCTCCACTACACCAGGTTGCCCAAAGCCTCATCCAACCTGGCTGTGAACACTTCCAGGGATGGGGCAGCCACACCTTCTCTGGGCAACCTGTTCCAGTGCCTCACCACCACAACTTCCAGACTAATGCATAGCTTTACTCTACCCATTTCCACTCCTCCCCCCCCTAACCTTTACTAGCAAGCAAGCTGTCAGAAGTAAATAAGAAAAAAGAAAAAGTTCTCTCTCAGCCCCAAATCATTGTAAGGAAGAAGCAAGAGCAGGGACCAGACTCCCTTTGTCTTAACCTACTCATATTTGGACCCGAGAGACAAAGCTTTTCTAGCAGAGAAACACCAACCACTGTAACGGAGCACAACACCAACCTCTTACTAACCACAGCTGCAGACAGACACTAGTCTTGTATCTCTACCTGTTTGATTGATACGTAACAATGAACTCTCATTTTCTTGACCCTTTCCATAGTCAGACAGCGCCTGTGACTGGAAACACCTTACACAGAGGTCTCAGTCTTCAAAAAACTCAACATGGCTCAGCTTGAGGCACACTGCTCTCACTAGTAGCTGCAGAGTAGTAGGACATTGCACAGTCTGCATTGCTCTCCTTCCCACAACAACCTCCTATTAAAGCAGAGTCTCCTGTACTCCTCCATCCTAGTTCCCAGAAGACGAGCTGCCTCTACCAACCATGAGCCTCATCCTGCAATGATGATGATGATGATGTCATCGTCGATGGTGAAGGTCCCATTAGCCTCTTTCACAGCAACACCTCATCAACACCCTAGAGTCTCTAACTTTTTACCCAGCTACAAAAATGACAAAGCTCCATTTTTGCCTATAACTGGCATCTGCCATCACATTTTCTGTGGAATGAGAATCAGGCCAAGCCCCTCCCATCCAACAGCCAGATATATTATTTCTTTTTTTTTTTACAAATTTAATGAAGTCATATAAAAGTTTTTGCCTGGGTATTAGCCTTGTTACAGTGGGCAAGATCCCTTTATCCTGAAATATAATTTAGCGTCAAAGCATAAAAACATCTGTAGACATAATTTTGGAAGGTCTCAAGAACACAGATTATTCTGATATGCCAACTCATTCAGCCAATGTGGAATCAGGATCTTAAACCGAAGTCAGCAGGACTTTATGCATAACTAAAATCAGACACGTGCCTACTGGGCTTGCAGATTTAATGCCTCAATATCTCATCTCAGAGACAAGTGCAGAATCAAGCCTGTTCATGCTTAAGACAGGAACACAAGATGATGATGAAAGAACCTGAAGGAAGTGAGATAAACCTTGGTTTATTGGAGAAATCTTGAATAAATGAAAATGCAATATCCAATTGTTTTTTTTCTCCTTGCTAAAGTCAAAGCAACAGCCTATACCTGAAAGAAACTAGAAGATTTAGATGGTGGTTCCCTGGAATAGCAATAGCATTTTACTAAGCTGACACCAAATACTTTATAGGATTCTTTTCTTCTAAATATTTATAGACTTTACCACCTGCTTACTGTATGTTTTCTTTTCAGAACAATTCTACTATTATTTAGATAACTGAGTTGCATTTTTAACTTCAAATATGTTGATGAACCAACAACAAGCCATAATTAAGAGGCAGTTGGAAACAACTGACAATACGTAAATTTCCCTATTTAAGAAAATGCCTTTTATTTCTAGATCATCTTCTGCTTGCCTAGAAAATTATTTTAACACTCAAATGGGTCATATTTTTGATAGAATAAGTCTTTAAATGTAGGGAACTAGTCCTCCTCCCTCAAAAGATTTGCTGGATGAGCTATAATTGTGCGAAGATCATAATAAAATATTGTTCTTCATGTGTGCCCACACGCATCTGTGTGTGTGTACAGCAGGTACTACAATTTACAATTTTTATTGTCGTTATCTATCCTATTATTTCTTGCACAGCTGAGAGACAGAGAAAGCAAAAACCAGCATTTACTTTTGACCCCCAATAGTAAAAGAGATGTCACAAGATGAAATAATGCAGAGCTGTCAGAGTAACTGAATATAAATTCACAAACAAGGCAGAAATTGTGGCCAACAACACAGCAATGGTCCCTATGTATGCATCCCAAAACACAGCAAATTGAAAATGAACAAAATGGAGAACGCAAAAAACGTCTACATGGTCAGAGACCTCAGCAAAAGGAAGCTCCGGAGTGCAATGAGGGAACAAGGAAAGCAGACACACATTTGGGGTGTAAGCCTTCTCTGCAATCAGAAGCTGTGAGCTTTGTGAAGCTAGAGAAACAGAAGAAATACCACAGAAAGTAGATTAAGTACTTTTATTTATCTTTTGAATACTATGAAAGTATGGAAGTAATTCAATCTTTCAAGATTTTTTCCCCTGTCTAATCTTATTTTCATAATTCTTACGCTGTTCTGGGTTTCTCAATAAGATTAAATAGAAATAATTCCATACCAAAGTTTGCCAGACTAGTTCAAGGAGTTCGTTTCAACTTAAAAAGGATATCTTTTGAAAACTTGCTAAAAGAATAAACCTACTCATTATCATACTGCATAAATAGCAACATATTACCATTATTCCCTTGAAGTGTTATCTTATTTTAAAAGGAATATAAATTCTAATCACCTTTGAGTAGAATCACATGGTCACCAAAAGCAAAGCCTGCATCATTCTGGTCACAATCAGATAAAAACGAGGTTGAAACATCTGGTCAAGGCACCATAATAAACGATCCCTGATCCCTCACTGTCATTAGAAGATCGTCCTATATTGTCTCTCAGTAGCTCCTCAGTAGACAGGATGGACAGCTACAACTACTCATAACACAGAACAAGAAAGTTTCTGTCCATGGTCAATTAAATTATACATGCCTTCTCCTGGGCTGGAAAGAGAATGTATGATGAGCATGCATTATTCATTTAGGAACTATTTAATTAATTTCTTATTGATGAGGATATCTGATCCCACTTATCCCACTGAAAGGCCTTACAACGCATAACACTTTTAGAAATCCTTTTCTGCAGAACCTTTGAAGCTCTCAACATTCTTGAAATGTCACTCTTCCCTGCTGGCGACTGTTCACCAAACTCACAGAGCCAAAGTGTTACTAGATGATCAGTTATGACCTCTGAAAGGCAGCCTACCATGCAGTGAAAAGAAGCTGCAGATTTTCCACAACTGTTTTTTGCCTGCATGGAGATCACATAAGCATTTTCACAGAAAGCTGTCGTTCTGCACCAAGGGCAAGGCAGAACAAAAGAAGATAGCTATGGATGTAAGATACAGGATAGCACAAACAGAGCTAGGGGATCGATCTAAGTAAACGAAGAAGGGAAGGAAAAGTAAAGTCTCTTGTGAAGGATTTATTTTAGATAGAGGTTAACACACCTTGGTAAGTTCTACTTTCTCATTTCTTCAGATCAGTATATTCCATGAACCGGAAAGAAGAATCCCCTTGCTTAGTGCTAAAAAGCAGCAACTGAGGAAAACAGAATAACTCTCATCCTGAAAAGGTGTTTTTGAAAGATGAAAACTTATACATTAGATACTTAGTCCTGCAGCACGAAAAATTAAGTTTGAGGAAAGCATTGGAAGTAGGGAAAAAAATCAAGGTAAAATCCCAGCAATTAAGCCCTGCTTACAGGGTGGGGTGAGGAGAAAAACCCTAGAAAGATCGGCAATCGGTGCTGATCCAGAGGACTGGGGTCTTTTTGTAATTCGTATCATTGGGAGAGACAGATGCTCTCCATCGAGCAACATAAATCTGAAGATAGCATTAATCTGCAAGAATCCCTACTGATTGACAAACCCTCGGACATCTGTCCTAGACTTATGAAATCAATCTAAAAATGTGTCAAAAGATCTCAAGCAATAGAAGGTGCAAATTGTAATCCTAGAGTCCTCTCTGCTCTCCGAGCAGATGACTACATGCCAATGTATTATTTGGAACCATAACATTTCTTGCCTCTTCAAACCCCTCAAACCCAGAGTAGAATGAAGGGTCTTCCACTCTGGCCTAGATCTACAATGCAGCTTAGGATTTGGATAGGTAGATCTTTTCTTCTTGTGAGGAGAAAAGATCTTCACCTACAAGAATTTTTTGCAGCTGCTACACCATTCTTATTAGCTGCACTGCAATGAGATATTTTAATTTACTTTCTTCTCCAAAAAGAAGAATAGTGTCAATTTCATGATCAGACTAAAACCTCAAAATTGAGGTTTACCTGAAACCTAGAAGAAATCAAATCCAATCCATCTAGCTCCTGCTGACACCTTGAAGCCAGAAGTCCACATTAGGAACTAGTGTCATCAAGGATTAAAGTAGTAAATTGTTTGTCTCCTTATCCTTAATTTCAAAAGAATTCAATTATCTGTGTTTAATACTCACTGTGCAGCTATTACGAAGGGCTTCAAATTTACGCTGGATTTCATCTCTATGTGCCTAAAGGAGGTAAGAAGTTAATCATCAATTTTTCATACATTAGAATTCGAATCCAACAGCTGTTGCTAAACAAACTGCAGAACAATCTACCAGCAAGCAAAGTTTGGAGGGCAGATGCTGCAGGCTATGAAAGCACTCTGTAGTGGCAAAGAACTGATTAGCAAAAGTCACATCCTACTTCATCAAAACACACTTCTGCTCCCAATTCTGAACTACTTTAGAAAAATGTACAAACTCGAGAACTGAATTATATAAAAGGTTCCATCTGAAATGGTCACCAGAAGACATGGAGATTCCATGTTAAGTTTGTACATTCTTGACATTTAAATTTGAGTTCATTTTACTTCTGTATGCAGATTGGTATTTCATATAAAATAAATACTGCATAGAATTTAACGCTTGCAAAGAAAAACTATAATGAAGAATTATGCAAGCTATCCCAAACAGCTCTGCCAATCTACCTGAATCTGACCATAAAGTACCATTTAATCCTGAGCCTCTCTAAAAAGCAGTGATGAAACATAACAATCAATTCTTTGGAAGACAGCATCCAAAGTATGGAAAAGTGCAAACACTTATTTTAAAGAATGCAGTATTGCATGCACCATTCTACCTCCTAACTTACGAGCAAAGCATGACAAAGCAAAAGTTCTTGTTTCAGCCTCATGGCCTCTCTCAAAATCCATCAAACTGATTTAACAAGTGTCTGAAGTCATATGCTCTCTGTTAACAAACGAAAGGTTAGTGCACTAGCACATCCAGCCACCTTTCTTCATTCAGAACAATTTCCTTAAAGCCAAGAGACTAAACAGGAAAAAACTGTTCAGCAGAAGTTAAACATGAGAGCTCAAAAGCTATCTTACCACAACAGGCAATATGAAAAACAAAAAAAGTGTATTAAAAAATCCATAACAGAAACACTCCCAAGCCCACCGAACCGGACTATCTTACAAGAGCTGGTCCAAAAGCACTACCATGTTGCCAAATCCAGTGAAACAATAACCGAGCGAACACAGGTCGTAAATATTCATGTTTCACTGGTGGTGTAGGGCAAAGCCATCAAGCACATCGCCATCGATACGAGCCGCTACGCAAAGCTTTCGCTTCGGAGGGGATCGCCTCGGTTCGCAGCAAAAAAGCAGCTGGTGCCACGTTCTATCCAGTTATTCTTACGCCTTGTTGGTGTTGCTGTGCTTTCCCAGCACGTACCCGCTTGAGAACAACTCGGAACGAACGGTTCTCCCATTCACCGACCCAAAGCATCAACACAGCACAAGCACCCATCTCCGCTGAGCCCCCCAGCCCTTCCAAAACCAGCAATGGCAGAAACATTCGGAACAGTTCTTTGATCAAATGCCACTGGAGCACGAGAAGGCACGTTTTCAACACTTCAGAATAACTGGATTTGAAGGTCATTAAGAACGCTGCTCAGTGGGGTTAGCTGGTAGCAAGTCATCTCCTGCACACTCTGCCCACCACAGCCCTGGCAATCTTTTGTGAAGGAAATATTTCTTAGAATCAAGCAGTTTGAAAGCATCTTTTTATACTCAAGAGACAGCAACCAGCAGCACATAATTTAGAATTCCATTTTCTTGGAGTGAGAGGGAAGGGAAGGGGCAGGAATTGAACTTTTTTTTCCTTTATATCATTCATACACCTCACCAGAGTCTGCAAGACACACATGACAATTTGTAATGAAATAAGCATTGGAATAGAACAATGTGCTAACACACTATTTTCCTAGGAATTTGTGGGGTTTTTTTTCCCAAATAAGTATCCTCAAAGCGGGTAACAGATAGGAAAAAAAAAATAATATCAAAATATTTATGATCATCAAGTACTTTCAGATTCATGAGATATTATTCAAATAAGTAAATCACAGAGTAACATTCCTAACAATAACAATTGCATATGCAACCTTCACCTCATCACAAAAGTAATAATGCCCTTAGAATCCATCCGTTTTGGCAGCAATGAACCACTACTAGGAAGCACTTATATGGTTAAAGATAATAAGACAGTCAAAATTTGACCTTTTCACCATTCTTGCCTCTACCAACACAAGGCACAATTCATAGCCTGTTCTGAAAATCAAAAATTAAAAAGTATAAATTCATTTTAACCTCTTTATGAAACATGCAACTACATAATTCTAATCTGTACATCTAGCTCGTAGTATGAGTTTTAGGGCTCACCGTGAGAGCTTGAATCTCTTCCTCTGCCTCAGCTGTGGTCTCCTCTAGTTCAGTTTTGGCTTCGCGGAGCTGATTCTCCAAGGCTGTCCGTGCAGCCTGCAGCCCAGTAATTTGAGATTCCCGCTCCTGGAGTGTCAGCTGCAATTCTGTCAACTGCCTTTTGAGCTCCAGCTTTTGTTCTTCATGCTCTAGACTAACCTGAAGAAAGAAAAAGTAGCATCCAAATATAATTTACTAACAAAGAAAATATACTCTCATTTCCAGACCTCACTTTAAGATATCATTGCCACGTCTATCCCAAAAATCACATCTTTACAGATTGCTTAAGTCACTGAGAAGTCAAGGATGCGGCTTTGTCTACTACCTAAAAACTACTGATTTGCTTTGAAAAACATTAAAAGCAATCTGGCATTTTGAAACAACAAGAAGGACCCAACAATAGTTCCAAGCTGTGACTCCCATATCACATATCAAACGTTGATATCAGAAACATAAAAGATGAAGTAGTTTGTGATGAACTTTCTTCACTGAAATTGAGAATCTTTAAGAATCTTTGAGAACATTTAGGCATAAACATCAATACTAATCTTTACGTGTATGCAAACATTACATACATTTTGCAATTGATTTTCATATTTCATTTTCCTTTCAGATTGTTTTTAAAGAAACCAACTAGATCATCTGGCTCTGGGTTTATGTGAATGGCTTCTTGAGGTACACTCAGGGATAAACACGTCATTTCCAGAAACAGGTAAGAAATGAACAAGCAGCAGAACAGATTTCAGTGCTCAAAATCAATTCCAAACCTTAGCACCTTCTTCGGGCTGTCTGCTATCCCGAGCGCATCTGTCTGTTGCGCTGCAGATGTGCGACAAGCCTGCCAGAAATCTTACACTGGTCCCAACCAACTTCCAGTCAAACAAGGACACGTGTTGGTCGTCCAACCCTCTTAGCTAAAGGCAAGATTTCAGTCTCAGCTGAAAATTAGTGGAGTGAGACTGGAGAAGGCAAAAGAAGATTTGAAGTGGATCCAAACTAGTTGAGATACAAAACTAAAAATGAAGCACAGATCACAAATCCTCACAAACACATATTTTCATATTACTGTTAGGTCGCTTTTTCAGAAAGCTGCTGAAAAATGTGCGTGAAGCAACAGGTCTCCTCTTTTCTTACAGCAATTCTGTCGTGTCCTTTGCTCTCTATTCTGTAGACTCTAAGGCTATGGTTAAGCTGGTCCATGTACACAGCTAAGCTTTTATTCTCTAGCCCATAACCACTCTTAGCTGGACAACATTGTAAGGATACGGCACAAAAAAACATAAATATGATTCTGAGAAAGCAAGATGATCTCAGGTCTAAGAATGAAAAATCCTTAATACTTACTTTTATCTCCCTGTAATGAGCAATTTTTAATTATTTTATTTTGTTTTTACTCCTAGGGGAAAAAAAGTACTGCTAGACCAAACTAAATTAATATACCTTAAAAACAACATTTTTTGTGACACACAGAACTAAAACAACTTAATTCTAGTTCTCATTATAATACTCAAAATGGGATACATTGAAGAAGGTTTGTTTGGAGGGATTAAACCCAAGTTTTCACCTCTCGCAGCCTAGTCTCCAACTCCAGCAGGCGGTTCTTGTCAGTGTGATCTTGGTGACTCATCTTTTCCAATTGTTCTTCTAATTTTCGATTCTGGGCCTCTAACTTTCCAGCTTGAGTTTCCAAGTAGAACTTCTGTTGCCTGAGCTCTGAAATCATCTCTTCTTGGGCTTTCCTGAGAGGAGAAAAGCAGAAGTGACAAACCCAAAATGTCCTTAACATATGTCCTTCACTGAGGTGAAGTGAGGAAGAATATACAAGTTTCCTGTTAAGCAGAATAGTTACGTTCATAGCTTAAATTCTACATCCCAACCAAAAAAGAATTAAAGAAAAAAAAAAGTCAACTCTTCACTCCTGTCTGCAAAAGATCCACGTCCTAGTGTATTCATCAACATATGCCCAGAGCACTAAAATTCCTTGTTTGCAAGTTGCACAGAAAAATTAATCTTGTACATGGAAACCTACACCATAGTTCATTCTTCTCATTTCACCAATTCCTGTTACACGTTTTTCTACACAGGAAAAACAAATGCTAAGAATGGTTCCTCTCACACAATATATTTCCATGAGATAAGAGAAACCCTATGGTTTCGGGTTTGAGGGGGTTGTATGTTGGGGTTTTTTAAGTTGTAATGGACCTAGAACTTGACCTACATTGAAGCGAAGCTTTGTTGTCTCCGATCAAAGTCTTAATCTACAAAGCGAACAAAAATAATTACTTGTGCTCATAAGAATTTCGAGAGCTGGCAATGATTAATTATTACCATAACAATTTGAAATGGATATCCCCATAAAAAAAAAAAAGGAGGAAAAAAAAAAAAATCTTTCTACATTATTTACAATTCCTGAAATCATTTTATCATGCATTGGAAAACTCTGCCTCATAGTGTGCTTTCTACTTAGCAGTCTCACAAAGCTCTACATATATTAATGAATTAATATTTTAAGAAGTTCACTGTGAGATAAGCTGTTATTAATCCTACCCCAGAGAAATTATGTGGGTTGCCCAAGATCAAATAGGAAAACTTAATAAAACTAAAAATAGAACTTAAGTCTTCTGACTCACATTTCTGTGCATTGCACACAAAACCAACCTTTCACCCTTTCTCTTTTTCAAAATTACCTCTACGGATTATTGCCAGCCAGAACTGATAAATGGTGCTATTTCACTTCCTACTGTTTACCTGGCTATCTTTCTCAGGAACCTGATAATCATTAGTTTCCTCAGACACTGATGGAATAAAAGCTAGCAGAGTTCCCCTCTTCTCTGAAGGGTTTCATCACCAGTTCTCCTCTTCAAACACGCTCAGATTGGCTGTAGCTTTTGTGGATTCAAAATACAGTCCAACAACAGATTTATACATTTTCAGCACCACAATTCACAAAATAAGCACAAATTCATTAGCTATCTGCATGCATAATAAAGCAATTTTCTCTTAGAACGTTGTTAATTCTGTACTATCTTCTGCCAATCCTGCAAAATTACTTTACTTGACAATATGTCTCTCAATCTATTCTAAGTCATACGTTAAAACATTGTTATATTCTTTTCTTGTTTTCTATGGATCCCCTGAGAGCAGGACACTTGATTGAAGATGCATCTAGCTCAGCTGAGTTCTTACACTCAGTTCGGCACCAATGACTGTGACACTAGACCTTGCATAGGCTTCCCAGGTACATGTTGGGTCAATACTTCTGTTTTATTTCAGACTGAAGGTAAACTATGGCTCTTGCTGTCTCAACAGACCTCCTGTGTGATTAACTGGAGGTCATCTGGAGCATAAAGCAACACAATTACATTCCTCAGCTATTTCTGTGAATATTTTTGGCTGCTCAGGCTAAAATAACTTGCCAGATGTTTGAAATACAGCAAAAATTGGAGCCATTACATATCTGGAGGCATAATCACGACTCAAAAGCTAAAAGAAAAAAACAAAGCCACTCTGCCAAAATTCATCCTTGCTTACTTCTATTCAGTATTATAGATGAATCTGTCCAAGTGCTTCCCACAGAGACATTACCTAACATTGCATTCAGCACTTGAGAGACACTGAAAACCTTTCTGCAGACAACCAAAGTTGATGAATGTCTTAACTCAGGAAGAGCTTACAGTACTTTAGCCCTACCTTGCAGGACATGTCAAACAATCTGCACTTTTCCTATACTTGAAGTAGAATGCCTCCAAGTCATTTATGAAGGAAAACCATCATTATAAGGACAAGGAATCTCAGCTAAAATACAACGTAAAATAAAGTTCAGGTAGACAAAAAGATGTGACGCAGAAGATTTCCTCTGTGTTAAATAAATAAGAATTCACCATGAGTACAATTGCTGATTGCACAGTGACTCAAGATGATGTTAGATCTTGGCCCACTGAACTGACTAGTAGGTCATTGATGAGAATTAAAGAGAGGCAGAAGCCAAGAAGGCAATAGAGATATATGCAAGTGCCATTTGGGTTAGGAAAAAACCAAAATGAATTGCTGAAGCTGGGGTATCTCCTACTTCACATTACTTCTGCCCTTTTCAGTAACAAAATATCTCACCCTTGCAATTGGCAATTCAAAAACATGCAGAAAAACTCCTGGCTTAAAAAAAAAATAATCTATTTTTCTTACTTGTCTTCTCACCCATCAGGGCAGGATGGAATGTTTGTGAAAGAAAGGTGTTTAATGTTTTCTACTTCAACACCATGTAACTGTCACAGGAACCACGGAAAATATAAATCCATTAGCAATATGTATGTTCCAAAAAGGAATATATGCTTCTCCAGAGCTATTTTAGACGTTAAAATTATTAGTATTCATTTAACATGTCTGGTAAACCTTCACAAAGCACCAGTCTGAGGAAAGGCTCCAAAGCAAACACTGTAATACAAATCAATTTTCCTAGTCATGTTTGAGGAAACACAAAACACAAAGTGAACCACAACTATTTGAAGAACAAGCGTGTTTTTGCATCACTGAAAAACAAGCAGAGAGCACAGCAGGCCTGAAAAAAAGAACTATTTTTACATTAAGAGAACAGATCTTATTGAGAACTGTTCAGTAGTGACCAGTACGATAGCAGTTGCTATACTTACATGTTCCTCTGGGTAAAAAGGCTGCTATTTGCTGCCAGTTTATTGGCCTCAGATAATTCCACTATTCTCTGCTCCAGTGACCTAATCTTCGAATCCATGGCATTGATCATCTGAAATAGAGCAACATGCCTTTGAGACTGCACAACAGAAGTGATTATAAAAACAATGTACAAAAAAAAGTCTGAACTTTTTCCAGAAACAACAAGAAGTAAAAGAAAACCGATCAAATGGCCATAAGAGCATCACAGATGCAATTAACTGGAGCTATTTACAACTGCTTTCTACTGCTTCAATATTAGAGAAACCAACCATTATACTACCAATGCACAAACGATGGGTACAGCAAGCTACATGGCTACTTCTGAGGAAATATTCTTGAAGACACCTTGAATTAAAACACATTAATACTAATTTTAAAAGACTTGAGTGGATTTCCTTCACGACAGCTCAGCAGCACTACAAAACCTCAAACAAGACTATCTTGCTTGAAATCAGAGTCTCAGAAAGCGACTCTTAAAATGCTTTGATTTCCAGTTCAACTATACATACCGCCTTCTGTTCAGCCAGGACTTTGCATTTCTCACGTGCTTCTTCTTCATGTCTTCTAAGCATATTCTCAAGTGCTTCCTTATCTGCAAGATCTTTCTTCATCTGATTTTCCAACACCTAAATTAAGACATTTCTTTTGTCTAAATTATATCTGTTTCACTAGGCAAAGGGTAAGCAGAAAGAAAATCATCAAGAAAGAGAGAATATTCTTTTTTAAGCAATTGATCCTATCTGAAGCAAAATTAAACTCAGGATGCAATTCCATGAAAACTATGGAAGAGTAAACTTCAAAAAAGAGCACTTCCTCAGTTATCTCTGAAGATTGAATCTAATGATGAAATTTTATGAATACATGGGAGATACCATAGATTTTTTAAATTATTATTTTAAGTCATATAAGCTGAGTTCAAGAAATATTCCAGACTAATGCAACAGAAAACAGAAAAACTCTATACTCGAATCTGTATATTAGAAGAAGTAAGGAAGTGCAAATCCTTTGACAGTCCTAACAATATGGCTCAGAAGTAATGTCTAAGTTCCATAGACCTGCATAAGAAGGCAACTGAGACTCCACGAATTCTTCAAGTCAGAGACATTAAATGTAACAGCTAAGTAAAAGACTTCTTTTTGTGGCACAAACACCTGTCATTAGGAACAGGACTGAAGTAACTAATTGTTACTTTAAAAAAAAAAAAAAATGCATGTTATGTACTTATGAATGCATGTCCAGAGCTTTAAATAAGTTGTTAAACTGAAGGTCATTTCCTTCAAAGACAAGTTTGCAAAGGCACAAAGTCTGTAGACCACAGGATATTTTTTACTGTACAGTTACAAACATCCCATGACCTCTGTCATCCCTCCGAGCCTCTTTCACCTGGCTTCCCAATTCCTCGTACTAAACTCTATATCATATGTCCCTGTAACACACTGGCTTTCTTTTTTTTTTTTTTTATTTCTTTTTCCAATCCCTATTCTCTTTTCCAGCTTTGATGTCACCACTTCTCCTTACTCTGCCCTCATTACTGATTACCACATGCTCTGGGGTCTGCCAGGAAACTTTCTTACTTCTCTTTTTTCCCTTTAGATTTCCTTCATATAAATTCCTTCTCTCCTCTTAAATACGACATCCTCTCACACTGAAACTGAGATTTAGAATTAAAATCCTAGGTAAACGTACTAGATAAAGATTGGTGAAAACAGATGATGCGTAGTAGAAACAAACTCTCACAAAATGCATTTACTGGCTGACATACTGCAGGTTCTGTAGAAAAATGCTTACTTAGCCAGTGAACATACTCCTCTTTCCCAAATTGTTTTTCCTAATTTTAGATGGTGCCTATGATTCTATTTCTAACTGTTTGTTAAAGTCTTGTGCTACCCTGGAAAAGACAAAAACAAAGTGGGCGGTTTCTGTGGCTTCTTGGCAGATGTTACAGCTCCAAGAAGGTGGAATTTCAGTCATGCTTTAGTATTTGCTGAATTTAAAACTTGCAGGTAGGCTGTGTGATTTCTCCTAGAAAATCATCAGTAGGAACTGAAAACTTTTTCAGGATGTGAGATTCAATTGCATTAAGTATTATTTAGTCAGCAATAGGCAAATTATAACCAACAACTGCCTTCCTATTGTTCCGACTTCAAAAGCAACTCATAAAACAAAGCAATCAGAGCCTAAAGACAACTGTTTTTCCCTGAACTGATTCTATCCAAAAAAGCTTGTAGGAAGATGTTCAGATATTTTTACTTTGAGTTTTTCCTCATAGAATTGTTCCTTCTGTTTCAGCTGCAACTCCAGATGTTGTGCTGCGATCTGAGCCTCACGATGCTTTTCTTCCAGCTCCTGAAAGCAGCAGAGAATCACATTCAGTCATAAAGAAAGAGGAGGTGCTGTGTGTGTGTGTGTTACACAGGTATCAAACATTCATTCTTTCTTTTTTAAGGCTTCACACTATAAAAATCCAAAGACCAGGGCTGTCATAGTGAACAACCAGTATGAGAGCTGCACATCATCAGCTTTAGGCTTTGCATATTGCTGCTGACCCATCTGCTGCAGAGCAGATATCCTGCTAAAGACAAAGATTTCTACTTCCACGGTAAGAATCAACATTTCCTGGTAAAATATTCCCAAAGATGGGCCACAGATGTTTTGTGAAAACATAAACACTTTACAGCTGCTGTGGCAACACAGGAAGATAAGATCTATTTTTTTTAACCAGGTGTCTCACTTGTTTTCTCACGGAAGAACTCAATAATGGGGCACTGCTGTCTTTGCTTTTCATTCTACATTCATGGAATGGGAATAGTATTTGCTTTGCTATATTCCTCAGATGAACGTTGTCAGAATAACTATTTATAAATTGCTTGGAAAATGAAAAGTGCAGGATGCAATATATATGGTAGAACATACCAGAACATTTTTAACCTCTTTACTTCACATCAGATAGTTTGAGCCATGCACAGTAAGGACTTAAACAATTTTGTATCTCAGAAGTTGGCTATTTCTGCTGTCTGACTATATTATTCAGGATATATCTATAATCACCTTTCGACAGGACACCTCGCAAGAGTTGAGCTTAAAAATTGACAAATATGACAACACCCATTTGTTGTCATATTTGCCATTCCAACTATTTCCTTAGAACAAGAGGCAGATCCAGGTCTGTCATTCACTATCACTGGGTTGACTCTTGCATAGACAAGTTCAGGGTTTGGGATGCATCCAGGACTCCTGTGCCTTGATTACTGCATAGCACAGGCAAATTTCCTGATATTTCTACCTTAGCTCTTTTTATATTCTCTTTTCTGATCTTCCTCATCTTGGAAACATACGGAGACTTTTTTGCTCCAGTAATTGCAATAGGCCTCTTTTTCCAGAAGCGAGAATCAAAGAGGAGGTTCACCAAAAGTAGGTCATCTACAGTGCCTAGTACCCGACACTTCTGCAAGGAATGGAGATTGCTGCTTTTTGCAATTGAAATATGTCTCCCAGCAACAAGAGGGACAACTCACCTCCCCCAGAAGCCCACACGTTTCAGGTCCTGGCAGAGAATCAGACAACCAGATCAGCAGCAGCTTCAAAGCTACCAGCATCAGACTGCTCATACTGTAGCAGAAGCTTCACCAGTTTCTGCAGTGGCACTTAACAGCCAGTGTGGGCTTAACAAGGTAATCTCTTACCCCATTCCAGTTCTCACTATTCTCTATGTAGCACTAACTTTGTTAGTAGCATCATAGTAATGATCTGTGCTTTCAAGCAGTAATAAGTATCTTCTCTAACTTGTTCCTTACTTCTCATTCAACTCTCTAAAGGCAGATCAGCAGGTACTTCTCAGGTACTGCTAGATGAGTGTGCATGAAATCAATGCCTTTATTCAACAATTTCCACCTTACTCTATGCAGTTCTGTATCTTCACCTCCCTTCCTAACTTTCTATACCAGGAAAAGTCAAAAGTGTTTGAAGAAATCAACTTACGAGTAGAAGTGGAGAAAAAAGAAAACTATTACCCTGTGCTCCCAGATCAGAGCTGCAAGGGACTAGGAAAGACTCTGTAGGTTTATTTCTTCAACGTTTGTTTGATTTTTTTATAAAATACTTTTGTGTGTCTCTAGCGTTCTGTCAGAACTCCATGGAAACTACCTATAAGAAGAGCTAAACACATCCCATGGCATAAAAAAATTAGTTGATATTTCTGCATTCCCTTCCAGTTTTTCCTCCATGGAGGACATCATCAAAACCAAGGAACAATCCCCAAACATACACAAGAGGCTTATGAAACAATTTGAAGTTTTACACTATTTCTAAACATGAAGTTGGCTCTGTGCCCAGCAAAACCATAGTCTCCCACTTACCATGCACTCATGTTATCAAAACAATTTGAACGAAACAGCACTGCTAAAGAACTGATTCTGCCTTTTCTTGAGAGCGCTCAGGTGTTCTGATGCTGCAGTTTACTTATGCAGCTATTGCCCAGAACATGTACAGGACATCTGTTGACTCTAAATATGGTTATCCATACATTTCCATTTGGCCTCCTCAGGTGTGTCTATGATCAAGATTGCTATCAATAAAAATTAATCTTTTTTTCCTTATCATATTGGCAACATAGAAAGAGAATTCATAAGAAATGCAAAATTAATTTAATTATTCCACTATAAAATTATACTTCCTGTCCCAGGGAAGTAAAAGTATTAGAAACACCCTCTGCTTGGTTCACTGTAGACTGACGTACCATTCGCTCTAAAGATTTAATAGTTTAACATAGAGAGAAACAAGAAATTGCCATCAGAGAAGGTATGTGGGTGAAAATGGATTCCTGACAAATATTATCTTTGGAGACGAACAGTTTAGATGACTAATTTCTCTCTGCTTCAAAATGTGAGCATTTCAAGTAGATCTGACCTCTGAATTCCCTTGCAATTTATTTTAAAAGCTAGATATCAATGTTTTTATTGTTGCAGTATCCTGTACAGGGAACGTTTTACTTCTGAAACAATCATTAGCTAATAAATTTAAATATTACTAAGCTGACTTAAAAGTGCTCCCACTGACAGAACTAGAATTTTAAAGTAGTGTTAAGACTAAAGGTACAGGAGTAAGTTTGTAACCAAAGGTGCAAACAGAATTTGAGCACTTCAACTTTCTCCAGTATGACTGATACAAGAAACAAATCCCTTTATTCAACAATTTCCACCTTATTCAATGCAATTCTATGTCTTCCGTTCCTTTCCTACCCCTTTCTTACAAACTCTTACCCTTTATCTTTCATTTTCACTTCTGCTCACCAGAATTTTTTCTGCCATCTGTTGAATCTGTTGAGATTTAGTTTGAATATCTTCCTTTAGACGGTTTTCTCTTCGTTCCACAGTCTCTAATCTCTTCACTTGATTCTCCAGAGAATGGCGCCGTTCCTGTAGGGCGATTATTAACTGGCATTTAGGCTAACCAACTCTGCATTATCACAAAGCAATAAGTAGTTTCTAGAAAAAGTCAGTTGAAGCAGTCAATATATAGTTGTCTCTTATATTTGAAATCCTCATCATGCCCCAAATCTCTTAAGATAACCACATGTCCTTATTGACTCCTCACTGAAAAGAAAAAGCCTCTCAGTTTTCTTCAAAGAAATATATGCTCTTTAATTAAAGATGGATTAATGTCTAGCATCACTTTCCGGTGAATAGTTACTACAGGAAAGCTCAGTCATCCAGATGAGGGTTCCTAAACTAAGACACATCCCAATAACTAATTTACTCTAGATAAACATTCTCCACTCACCTCCGCTTCAAGCAATTTCTTCTTCATGCTTTCATTAGAATCTTCCCGATTCTGCAGTTTCTCTAACTCCTTCTCAGCTCTCTCCTTTGCTTGACGGATATTCTGAAGAAGTTCAGTTGCCTCTGAGCTAGCTTTCACAGCCTAAAGGTCCAAAGGGGAAAAAAAAAAAAAGGCATTATAGGAAAAATGCACACACACAAAAAAACTTGGTATGTGAAAAGTTCGTAACCTCGAGACAGTCAACATTCTGAATAAAATTTCTACAGAAATTTGGTCTAATAGTCTAAAATTAAGATAACCTACAAACATGTGCAGGAACCCAAATTCTAATTTCTGTTACATAATTCTTTTCTGTTTTACAAAAAAAAAAAATCCAGAAAATCCAGGAGATCTACATGTTTGTTTTGATGTACTGAAAGTTTCTAATCATTTCTGTGTACTGAAAGTAAAGCCTACCCTCAAGTTCTTGGAAAGAGCTCACAAAACATTCTTAGTAAAATACTAGGAGAATAACATGTTGGCCTATAGATAGTTCCTTAAGATTAATGAAAGGAGAAAAGGGGAGGGGGGATCCAAAAAATGACTGTTCTGAAATATTAGAAGTACTACTTCTACATAATTTTGGCCTCCTATTCATATTCTAGATCACTAACCTTTGAAAAAGTCCAGCGTCAGCAGGTGCCGAGTTTGTAAAGCTCTCTCAGTGGATTATTGTGACAACCCCTTTCTTTTCTGCTAAACGAGCCCAAGAAGAGAAGTTCCCCTACTGCTCTTACAGTCTTAAGTGACAGACATACCACAACTGCCAACATTGGCTATTACGTACTTCCTGCAGCTTTCCTTGCTAAGGTATTTCAATTCTGTTGTGAACCCTCATCATTCAACATTTTTACTGTTAATAACCAAACTGGAAAGTGATTTTGCAATTAAAACAGAGCATACTGGGAGACCAAACCAAGTCCAACACGTATTTTACTAGTGAGCTAAAACCATCTGAACCCTGCCTTCAGAAGCAAGGGACGCATGCATTGCATACGGCACACTCAGACTGGCCTTTTAAATTAGAATTTCTCTACACTACTCCAGTTCTGACTCAGCTTCATTTGTAAAAATAAACATTGTTGACATGTCTCACAAGAGCCGAAAGCATATTGGGAACACCAATGACTTCAGATACTAGTTCCCACCCCTTTTTCCTTAGCATCCTCCGTGCTATGACTAATTCTATTTTTGAGGATAAAACAAAGTGCATCTCTCCTCTTCATTAAGGTTTTGCTGGAAAATCTCGTGGAAAATTCCCTTTCACCACCCAGACATTACCTTTGTCAGCTTTTCCTGCAGCTCCTGGATTTTGGCCTGCTGCTCTGTATTGATCTACAGTTAAATAAAAAGATAGGGGGAAAGTGTGTTGTAAAACCAAAAAGGAAAAAACGCTCTCTACTCACGATACCATATTTATTTTAACACGCTTCCCAAAAATCCTTGTTTCTCCCCCTAAATGCCAACACGCCAAAATGTTCCTTGGCAAATCTACTCCCATTTTACCAACTTCTGGTTGATTTCATATTTTGGTCACCGAGTAGATTGTGCAGTTTGACAATACTCAGAACTGGTTTCATTTTTAATTTGCTATTCTTCATTCACAAAGAAAACCGTTACGTATCACTAATCTCACTTCAAACTCAGATTACACACGTAATCAATTGTCTTTGCCCAGCTTCTGAACACGGCCCATTAAGAACAAGATATCCAGACACAGCTTTGTATCAAATCAGAAAGAACAGGGAATCACATCAAGAAAAAGGTTTAAAAAGAAATAAAATACAATATAAAATAAAATACAAT